CTGACCGGCGTGAGGTGGTATCTCAGTGTGGTTTTGATTTGTTTACTATTCTTTAATAAGTAAAAGGAATTGTACCAAGGGAATATTTAAGAAATTATTAAATACACCCAAAATTGTTGGATGATTTTCCTAAGTGAGCTTCCAAAAATTGCAGCTGGGTTGATGTTCATTGAGATAAAACCACATGCAGAGAAACGGCTACTGACAGATTTGTAAAATCAGTTAAGTTTATCCAAAGCATTTTCATTCTTCTCTTGAGCTCCTTTCTTCATTCTCCCTCCAAGATTTGCCACTGTCTACTTAAAATATCTGCAGAAAATATGTGCTTGCTTTAAGACATTATAGCCTGCATCAATACACTGACTTATGGATAAGAAAAACATTAAGACCCTAAAATATAACAGAATAGGCTTGAAGAAACAGATGTACTATAATTAACAAGCAAGCATATAGAAAACATTTTCAATCCCTCTGGTACTTAAATAAATGAAAATCAATACAAAAAAAGAGGCCCCATTTTTTTCTCTAAAAAAACTTGGGGGAAAATTAATTGCTAAGTTTAAAACACTTAAGTAGTTCATGATATAGCCTATATAAAGATAATGTAATGACAGGGACAAGGCATATAACATAACAATAAGGGCACAAAATCAAATTGTGAGAACTTTACAAGCATATGTGCCTCTAAAAAACGCCTGGAAGGTGACTGACTATCCAACAGTGTAACAGCTGAATGTGTTACTGTCTGGGGTTAAGGGTTTTTTGGTGGTTTTCTCCACATTTTCCATAATATTACATTACTTTTATAATTTTAAAATTAGTTTCTGAAGGTAAAAAACATGAAACAAATTAAAATAATTTGCATCAATCCTCTCTCAGTGATGATTACTCAAAAGCTTACCAACAGAGTATAGTATTTTAATTACTATTTGGGAGGGGGCTTTCCTAACAAAAGATGAAATTGCATAAAAACTGTCTTATTTTTTCACTATAAAATTTTTCAAACATAGAACAATACAATGGTCATCACTTGCCATCACTGAGACTCAACATGTGTAACGTTTTGTATCTTTAAAAAAAGGACACCGTTCTATACAATTCAATATGAACCACAAAGTATATTAAATTGTTTAAAAAGTCAGTCATTTGGATCAAAATTCCATACCTTAATTTTGGCCATTAAAGCATCAATAGAAATTTCAAGGTCCTTGACCTGTTTATTCACCTCTGGTTTTCCATCTTTCAATGCATTTACTACTTCATTAAATTTATCGAGTCGTTTTTTCAGTGTGCCGACCTTAACCAGTCCATCGATACTGTAAACATAATACTTCATCAAGGTTTAATTTCACCACTCAATGCCATGCATAGATTTTTCATCTTAATAAAATGCCAAATAAACATCTTGCTATAAATAGGGTATTTCACTTCTGTTTTCATATTGTCTAGGATTCTCTTTTTTAGATCTCTTGTTGAAAGTAAAAAAGAAATAAATATGGGTGTGAATGACACTGATGCCTGTTAGTATTTTAGCCTTCTTTATTTACATGAAAAATTTCAGAATTCAAATTATAGAAGAAGTTAGAAGAGTTATCTAATCACTTTGATGAGATTTAAGGATTAACAGTTATACAGGCCTCTAAGTTTAAAAAGTCTAAATAAGACTCAAATAAAAAGACTAAATAAAAAGACTAAACAGTGAGACAATATAATTCCTATACATAATCTTGAGAATTATGGTGACATTAATGTTTTTAAAAACAATGCCAAAAAAATAAAAAAATAATAAAAACAATGCCAATTTGTCATTTATCAAGAAACTCAAGCCACTAAAATAATTAGAATAAAAGAGCTTCTTTTAGCCATTTATTTCAACCTTTTATAGTATTTTCATTTTTGTAAGCTACTTCAAATCCTTTTGTAGAATAAGGCAAGTAATTAAATAATGAAATAATTAGTTAATTAATTTCAAATACATAATATAAAATAACAGATTAATACATCTTTTTACAAAGAACACTAGTAAGGAGAAAACTCTGTTAAGTATCCAAACTGCTCTTCATTGACCTTATGGCCATTTTATATTAGGGTAAATAAATAGGTTTAATAGGGTTCTTTAGGCACTATTTTTTTTAATGTTTATTTTTATTTTTGAATGAGAGAGAGAGAGAGAGAGTGAGTGAGTGGAAGAGGGGCAGAGAGAGAGGGAGACACAGAATCTGAAGCAGGCTCCAGGCTCTGATCTGTCAGCAACAGAGCCCGATGCGAGGCTCAAACTCACAAACCGCAAGATCATGACCTGAGCTGAAGTCGGACATTTAATAGACTGAGCCACCAGATGCCCCTATATTTTTTATTTCAAATTTTTATTTAAATTCTAGTTAGTTAACATACATGGTAAAATTGGTTTCAGGTGTAGAATTCATCACTCACATATAACACCAAGTGCTCATCCTAACAAGGCACTATTCATCTTACCGAGGTTTGTGTCTCCTTTTGCAAAGCCACATTCTAATAGTTTTTTGCATTTTAATGCAGGCTTCAGCTCGATATTTTATTTTGTTTTTCACTACATATGAGAGGAAAATACAATGACAGAAAATTATTCAGTTTAAATCAGGCATATAATATTCTTAAAAACCACTCATTTCCACACAGCAATTTTCAGGAAACATGAAATCTTGACAAACACATTAGACCAGACATCAAAATCGGGAAGTTTAATATTTCTGTAATTCCTTACACTTCTTAAAACAAAAAGTACATCATGTATGTGGCTAGGTTTACACCTTAAACATACTATTTCCTTATTATGTCACACTATTGCTTCCCAAACTGTCCTAGGCAATATTGGTCTATTAAATGTTAACAGGTATGTCTTGAAAGAAGGATTCACTTGTCAAATAAATTTACAAAAAGCTATATGCTATACCTCCTTCAGGAGATGCACTGTGAACATACAAAGTAAAGCCTCTGAGAGCCCTACAGTAAAGAAACCTGTTTAACTTCAGTTACCCAGAACATCTTACACTAATCTGACCTTTGAACCTTTTTTTCAGAGCTTCCCTATTAACATCCTTCAAAGATTCTGTCTGGTTACCAACTTCACCATTGCAGAACACAGTCCACAAACAACTGGTATAGCATAGATAATTTACATACAATGTATTTTCCATCATAATGCAACTATAAAGCTGAAAGCCTTGAACCATAGTGACAAATGTGTCTATATTTTACTTGGAAACTATGGGAAAAAGAGCTTTTGTCATCTTTTTTATTATAGTTGTCTTTTTATCTATATGCACAATTGTCTAACAAAAAAACCTCAATAATAATCCTTGTTTGCAGATTTCCTTTCCATTAAGTCAAAGGAATTTTATTTTTCTTTTAAATTTTTTTTTCAACGTTTTTTATTTATTTTTGCGACAGAGAGAGACAGAGCATGAACGGGGGAGGGGCAGAGAGAGAGGGAGACACAGAATCGGAAACAGGCTCCAGGCTCCGAGCCATCAGCCCAGAGCCTGACGCGGGGCTCGAACTCACGGACCGCGAGATCGTGACCTGGCTGAAGTCGGACGCTTAACCGACTGCGCCACCCAGGCACCCCTTATTTTTCTTTTAATAAGGTATACCTTACTGAATCCTTTTTGTGTGCCTAGCACTGGTGAGTAGGGAGAAGGGAGGGGCAGCTGTAAATTTAATCAAGTTACTGACAATAATTCTATACAATTAAATATTTGCCATAAACCCTCAGGTAACCCAAAAACATTCTGCCCCTAACCCTTGTTTTAGCCACAAATAGTTACTATGACCTAGCAGACACACACGAAGTAGCAGCTCAGTCCAGTGTGTCAGAGAGAACAGGGTCTGAATGAGCAGTGGCAGGAGAAGAGGTTTGGAAAGGGAAGCTGAAACCCGGTTTCACAGGGTCTTGAAAGACATTCTAAGACTTTGCCCTACATCAAAGGAAAGCCTTAATAAAAGACATTCTAAGACTTTGCCCTGTATTAAAGGAAAGCCTTAATAAAAGGCTTTAGTTTAGAGAGGAACTCTAGGAAGAGAACTCCTGGGAAGCCAAGGGAACTCGGTTTGGGAGCTACTGAAGCTAACATGTGAGTGGGGAAGTGGGGCTCCACTAAGTCCCTGGCAATAAAGAGGAAAGAATGTACAGCACTTGGAGGAAGAATCAATAGGATGTGTTCACTGGCAAGATTTCAGGGACAAAAAGGGAGAGACACCATTACAATCTTGAAATTTCTGGTGTGTGTACCGGTGAAGCCATGCAGGTGGAAAGAGAAAAGTTCTGGCTTAAGTCTGAGAGACTGGGGGGGTCAGGTAGGGGGAGCAGGAGGAATCAAGACTGAGTTCTGTTTCTGTTTTGTTTAGGACACGGTGAAATTAATTTTCCCATAACACATTTGGATAAAGAAGATAAATATCACACATAAAAAATATTTTTTTTGAAGTCCACAAATAATAATTTACCATGTATATAGTACACACCAAGTGTTACGTACAGCCTGAATAAGTAACGTGGTCCCTGTGGCCCGTCACTCACCACTCAGACTTTATAACATTCCACAAACCAACTCATTTTCAAAGTAATTACAGATCTTGGTATGACAGAAAACACCTACGTTTGATGACTGAGAGGGAGCACCACTGAACTTTCTTCCAGCGACTGCAGACAAGCCAGTGATTGACTCTTTTAACCAGTTCTGCTAAATGGTCAGGGTCAGACTTCATAATCTGATCAAATTCTGCAAACTAGGAAATAAAATAATTTAGCAGCAGTATCAAAAGAAAATGTGTTTGAACACAAAGAGAGATACAAAATACTAGAAGTCAAAGCTAGTATCTAACTTTCTAGAAATTATCACAATCCAATAACAGACCCAAGTCTCAAGAGAGTACAGAGCAAATTCAAACATATCCAGTTGTATTTTGCTGCCTTCCTCTTCCATCAGCATCCTTTTCCGGAGGGGTAATCAGGGCTTACTCATTGCTAGTTAGCAAATTTAACAATAAAAGTAGAAAAAATCTTAAATGACAATTACAGATGATTGGCAAAAAGGTTTTACTGAGAAAAGAGTGAAATTAAGGGCTGTTTCTGAACTGGCTCATCCACATACTCTGATATCTGTATACAGCTTCTGATAAGTGAAGGTCAGCTATATAATGTCAGGTACCACTATACTGTTCTCACTCTCCCAACTTCCATCCCTATTTTGGTCAGATATAAAAATTGCTACTAAGAGACAGACAACACAAATAAAATGGCCATGAGGTTACTAAAAAATAAAATCCAGGGGCGCCTGGGTGGCACAGTCGGTTAAGCGTCCGACTTCAGCCAGGTCACGATCTCGCGGTCCGTGAGTTCGAGCCCCGCATCGGGCTCTGGGCTGATGGCTCAGAGCCTGGAGCCTGTTTCCGATTCTGTGTCTCCCTCTCTCTCTGCCCCTCCCCCGTTCATGCTCTGTCTCTCTCTCTCCCAAAAATAAATAAACTTTGAAAAAAAAAATTAAAAAAAAAAAATAAAATCCATTATTTTCCATAATTTACCACCAAATTATAAAATGATTTCTATCCTTTATTAAATATCTCACTATAATATATTGAGAATGTCACACACCTATCAATAAATGGCTTCTTATAATCAAAATTAAGTTAAAGGTAACATAACAAGATTAAAGATCTTTTAACTCTTGCCTTGTGCTTTCAACATATGTTTCTAATTAATTTTTCTGGGGGCAAAATAAGACCAAGTGTTTTCTCAGGCTACTAATTCTAAAATTATTACTAAAGCCCTGAAATAAGAGAAATGTCGAGCTTATGATAAATATGTATGATTATATAGCTAAGCCAACTATGAATATACATTTTTAATTTTTTTCTTTTATAAGAAATGGTATGGGTTCTCTGCAGTAAAAATATTCAAAATGGAAATGCATACATTGGTAATGCATTACATAGGTTTTTATCTCATGCTCAAAAAATGTGAAATCAGATTTATTACTATCATTAATCTAGTCTTCAAGGCACTAGATATATTTATTAATGACACTGCTAAGTCAAACAAATATGGTTGGCTATTATATAATAAGAGTTGTGTTTAAAATTATGAGGATGCAATTATTCACTCAATATTAATGAAGTCAGGAATGGTGAAAATGTTATGAACAGATTGTGAATAACATTTAGGTATTTGTTTTGTACACACGTTATGAAATATTCTATAACTCAGTCTTATAACCTAGTACAAGAATCTATAAATACAAAAACTATGGGTTAGCCTAAAATTATGTCACCTACAAAAGTATTTACACATTCATTCATTCTAAGATTTGAAAGAAGTTGGTACAAACCTCAGTCCAATTTCCTGTACCTTAAACATCTATTTATACTCTAATAGAACTTGTTCTTACAATGAAGACTCAAAAGTACTGTGAAATTTTTAATTATTGAAGACTGAATTAATATGTTTTAGAAAATGTTTCAACTTTTTAAAAACATAAACATTTTCTGGTTAATCCTTATTTAAGCAAAAAAATCCAATTAAACAATGCTCTGACTCCAGTACTTCCAAATGTGAAATAAAAACTGTAAAACTTATACAGAGTAGTACACACTGTAAACTTCTAACAAGTAGAGAAACTGTGTACACACACACACACATACGCATACTATTACTGATACTCATATAATTCATGAATAATAAGAATTACTAAACACTTCAAAACATGCCTTGACTCCAACTATCCATATTCATCATGTTAAACTTTAAAATACAAATGTACTTACCTTGCCAGGCCTAAAAAATACTTTTGTTAACCCAAACTTGTAGTCAATTTCATTCAAGCCCAAAGCTTTAAAAAGAGCCTGAAAAATAAAAGTTCAAAAGTTAAATGCCAAATAGTAGTTAGCAAGAAAAACAGTTCATAGCTAAGAAATTTCAATTTAGGCAGTATTCGTACCTTGCAAAACAGTCTTGGATCTAATCTTGCAAGTTTATCTGGCATATACTTTTTATACATGTTGTAGAGTTCATGAAAGGAAGCTCGTGATGGGAAACCACCCTGCATTAAGTCCAAAACAGACACCATACCTAGATTCATAAACAAACACAAATTACTGCCAATCTCTGCACCGAAGTCCAAAAATAACTTGTGAATGATCAATTTTATAAATTAATGTTTAGAAAGGGGCAATTTATACGAATCATCAGCAAGAACTATTACATAGGGACTATCATGTCCATACTCAATATGTACCAACTTATCCACCACCTAAAACTATTGTAGCAAATTTCATCTAAAACCAGCAGGACTAATCATTTTCTAGGGCACAAACTACTAGTCTCTAGAAAGCTCAAATCTAGTTTGTATCTTTTTTCTGCTAAAAACCTATGCCACAATCAACAGTATAGGAGGTAAAGGCCTGCATTAATTCACTTTCTAAGTCCTGAGGTTAATTCTTTAAAAAGATTCCTAATACAGTCTCTAAGAAGTAGCCCCAAGTTCTCACTCAAGCTTATACAAGGCAAAAGAGAAAGAAAGGGGAGCTCAGTATTTCACTATAAAGATCCCTTTTCACTCACCTCTCAAAGAAGCTAGTCTATTGGGGTAAAGAGTCTATAGGAGTATCTATTTTCAGTATAACTCTAGTACGTCTAATTTGAGCCTTGAGTCAGTGTGAAATTTTCACGTCAGAAAAGCATACGGTAGTCCGGGAAAGGTTCAACAATTGTAGATAATGCCAGGACTTTTATTTACAAAAAGGCCTGTATTTCACTCTCTGATACTTTCATATCAATGGAGATAATAAGATTATTCAACAAAGCGTTAAGACAAATGGCTAGCCATTTAGAAAACAAATGTTAACACTGGACACCGGATCCCTCCTCACTCCTTATACCAAAATAAATTCCTGGTGGTCAAAAATTTAAATTGGCAAAATGAAACTACAAAATATATTTTTTTAAATAAGTGGATTGTTATTTTAAAAATAATCTCCCAGGAAAGATATCTTTTCTAGAGAGTCAGACTGAATTTTAACCTATCAGACTGGCAAAGGTATAAAACACCAATAGTACTCAAAGTTGACCAATAGTACTCAAAGTGTAAGAAAACACACACATATACTACTGGTGGGAAACTAAACCAGTGCAACAATTTTGGATGGCAATGTGGAAATATTTATCCCCTTGACTCAGTACTTTCTACTTCTACTTCTATGAATCTATCCTACAACTTGTCACACATGTGGACAAAAATGCACATTGAGAATGCACACATGTCCACTGGATCGCTGAAATAGAAAAAAATACAGAAATAACTTAAATATCAATGAATTAAATGATATTACAACCATATGGCAGAATATGGTGTATTAATTTAAAAGAATGGGCAAAGCTTTATTTAACCAATACAAAAAATATACCCAAGACACAAAACTAAGTCATCACACCTGAGAAGACTTTTTAGTTATTATTATTGTGTACTATTTGATTTTTTCTTAGAGTCAACTATATAACTATTATAATTTTTAATACTAATTAATGAAGCACATAAAGGCAATCATTCCTAAGGAAAGAAATCTCTAAAACTAAATCTAGTTAGTTCTAGGCTCTGCTCAAGAAGTAAAGATTTGGCTAGTATTGTTACAATTCTTGCCCATGTATATCAAATAAACAAGTACCCTTGGGAACGTACACATGTGCCACCTCTGAGTCCCCTAGCTTGCTCTGTAGCTGAAGACAACATATGAACTTACAAAAGTTCATTAAGAATTTCATGAAGCTTCGGGGAGCCTGGGAAGCTCGGTTGGTTGGGCACCTGACTTCGGCTCAGGTCATGATCTCACCGCTCAGGGGCTCAAGCCCCACGTCAGGCTCTGTGCTGAAAGCTCGGAGCCTGAAGCCTGCTTCCAGTTCTGTATCTCCCTCTCTCTCTGTCCCTCTCCCACTCATGCTCTGTCTCTTTCTCTCAAAAATAAATACACATTAAAAAAAAATTTTTTTTAAAAGAATTTCATGAAGCTTAACAAATTACCAAGCCTAGGGCTGCTTTCTCAGCACTTGAAGCTAATTTACTCTAAAGACCTTTCAACACTTTAAAAAAAAAAAAAAGTCACCAAACCAAGTACTCTTCCTTCTAGAAATGTGACTGGTGAAGGGCTTATTGGTGCAGTCTGGCTGGTTATATTCAGAATCCTCTTTGCTGCCACAGATAGGCAGCAGAGCCCCAAGGTTACAGAGGAAGAACACCTGCCTTCTCTTACCTTCCCCTACTTTGCCCTGGTGTTGGCTGATCAGAAGATAGTAACTTTAGTAAAAAGTCCTAAATCAATTAATTCTTCTTAAATCAGAAAAAAATAATGAAAACAGAAAGGCAATCTAGAATTCAAATCTTAAATGTCTTTATTTTACAAAGCTTCATAAGTATTTTTATTTCTACTGATTATTGGGGTGTTTTGTTTTTTCATTTTCCTCATTACCTAGCCACATAATTAGAACCAGTTCTGTATCATTTTACTATTATTATTACTTTAAAAAAAAAGTCAAACTACTATGAATTGGTGTCATCTACTAAACTGCCAACACATCTTAGCATATTGAAATACACTGCTTAACTGAAAGATAAATCCTAGCTAAAGCATCTATAACCCCACACTCTACCAATTTAAAAGTCTATATAGCTAAATGTAAACATGCTTGACTTGCCAGGACACCAGATGCTCATTTAGGAAATAAATGATTTATTGTATTAGGCTAAACAAACCATGAAGAGATATTTAAATGAGAAAGGAGTCAAACTCAAAATAAAAACTATCTGAAGAAAATATCACAAAAATACATCCATATGTATGAATATGGCAGACATGAATTATTTAACATTACAGTATTTGTTAAAATTATTAACAAAAAGTCTTCACATGTGCCAGACCGTGCATTTCATTCAACAAATATTTACTAAGTCTAGTATAAGCTCTGCACTGCTCAGAGGCTGGGATAAATGTGCAAGCCAAAACAGACACTGTTTCTGCCCTTGAGAGATTTATAGGTTAGAGAAAAAATTACATGACTGCACAAATCTATATATAATTTATGGCTAAAATGAAGGTGCTCAGCACTCTTTACTCAGACCCCTCTTTCTGTTAAGGATATCAATAAAGGCTTTCACAAGGAAAGGACAATCAAGCGTAGAAATGAAAGATGAAGACAAAAGTTAGTCAAGAGCTTCTCAGAGGAAGCAGTATGTGCACAGGCCTTGTGACAGGAGGGAATATGGAGAACTTAAGGAACCAAACAAAGGCCAGCATGACTGGAGCACAGAGAGGAGAGAGAGAGTAGAGAGAGATGGACTAGGAACACATGGGCCAGACCTTTGGGGCCTCATAAGCTACTAGGATTTTACTCTTTCCCCTAATAATACTCAGAAGCCATTACAGCATTTTGAGCAGTAAAAAGATGTGATCAGACTTGAGTTGTAAAGCAACAATTCTGGATATATGTGAAGAACAGACGGAGCAGATGCAAGAATACTTAGGAAGCTACAGCAAAAAGCCTGGTGAAAGATGGTGATAGCTTGGATTGGGAGTACTAAGACTCACTGTTTGCCAGCAGAGCAGATCTTAAATATTCTCACCACAAAAGAGAACTGGTAATTACGGGATCTGATGAGACTGTTAGCAAATGCTATGGGGATAATCATTTTACATACAGAAGTATATCAAATCAACATGTTGTACACCTTGCATTTAACGTTATAAGTCAGTTATATTTTGATAAATCTGGGGGGGGGGGCAAAGACTATTTAGGAGGTCACATCAGGCAGTGGGGACAGAGAATACATAACTATGCTGTGCAATATGGCACCCACTAGCTACACGGTTTGCAGTTGCACTAGCCACACGTGACTATTTAAATTTTTAAAAATTAAAATTAAATTTAAAAATCAGTACCTAAGTCATACTAGCCACATGTCAAGTGCTCAACAACCAGAGGCATCTACCATATTGCACAACACAGATATAAAATATTTCTATCAACATGGAAAGTTATATCAGCACTGGGAAGAGTGAGAAAGAAACAGGCCTAAACCAAAGCGTGAAAAACTCTTAACAAACACTACCCAGAGAAAAGAAGACCCTGCAGAGGAGTTGAGATTTCCAGAAAATTAAAAAGAAAAGCAGGGGAGCACCTGGGTGGCTCAGTCTGTTAAGTGTTAGACTTCAGTTCAGGTCATGAATTCGAGCTCCAAATCAGGCTCCCTATTGTCAGCATGAAGCCTCCTTTGGATCCTCTGTCTCCCTCTCTCTATCTGCTCCTCTCCAGCTCTGTCTCTCTCTCTCTCAAAAATAAATAAATATTAAAAACAAAAACAAAAAAAGAAAAAAAAGAAAATCAGGGACATGGTCTGATTCAGGAGCCAAGGAAAGGATACATTAATGGGCCCAATCAAGTCAAATGTCGATGTCCACTAAGATGAGGACTGAAAAAGGAATATCTGATTTAGGATCAGGGAAATCTCGGGTGACCTTATCAAGAATTATTTTGTTGTGGAGCGCCTGGGTGGTTTAGTTGGTTGGGCAGCTAACTCTTGATTTCAGCTCAGGTCATGATCTCATAGTTTGTGAGTTGGGGTCCCACATCAGGCTTCGCAATGACAGCATGAAGCCTGCTTGGGGTTCTCTCTTTCCCTCTCTGCCCCTCCCTGCTTGTGTTCTTGCTCTCTTCCTCTCTCTCAAAAACAACTTGAAAAAAAGAAAAGGAAGTACTCTGTTGGACTGATCAAGGTGAAAGCTGAATTCTCTTGGGTTAGAGAGTGAGTGGAAGGCATGAAACTGAGAAAGCAAAAATAGGCTATTCTTGGACAGAAAAGGACAAACTATAGAATAAACAGTGAGGCTAGAGATAAGGAAATAGCTGGAAGGGAATATGGGTCAGAGGAAATTAAGATTAAGACTCCACATGTTTAAATGGTAGTGAGAGAGACTACCTCAAAGGGAATGATTCAATACAAATAATCGATATTGAAGATTCAAAAGAAAGTAGGAAGGGATGATTCCAAAGAACTATAGTCTCAACTTGGAAGAGAGGCACTTCCACCTTCTTAGCAAAAGGGAAGGTTATGCAGGTAGGTAGCAGTGTTTGGTAGCACACAGGTGAAGCTTTCCATCTTCTAGTAAGAAGCTGAGGCTGTCTATTGGCAGAGATTCAGAGATCTGGAGAGAGCAGGGTGGGTTTGCCTAAAGCTTATACAATTGTAATTTAAGAAAAAAGTACAAAATTACAAAATACAAAAGAATATAAAAGCAGGTACAGGGCTTTCAAAGGAGCCCATCTAAATGAGGGACCCTGAAGCTTAAGTGACTCTAGCTTTATAATGAATCTGACTTTGAGAGGAGCAAAATAAGGAGTAAGAAAGACCAGAGAGCTTAAGGAAGTATCACAAATTTGGGATGGAGCAAAAGGCAAGTAGAGGACTCATGCCCTGGGAGACAGGAGGCATAGCATGGGTGTGGAGAGAAGATGGGCATGCAGTACAGGAAAAACAGTGAGCCTTGTGCCTAAGACTTCTATGACTGAGCAAAGTTAGAAGGTGGCAGGTGAAAGGTGGAGAGTGATAGTTTAGCCAAATGCACAGAAGTTCTGCAGCAGCCAAGGGCATTATGTTTTCATTTTTTTGTAAGCAGTGGAGTGAGAGCAAGGACACCAAAACCCACCTCCTGACCCAGCTATTTAAGGAATGAGAAATGAACTACTGCCAGCCCGAGAAGGCCTGGGTGGCTCAGTCCATTAAGTGTCTGACTCTTGATTTTGGCTCAGGTCATAATCTCAAGTTTCATAAGGTCAAGCCCTGCTTCAGCTCAGTATGAAGCATGGAGCCTGCTTGGGATTCTCTCTAACTCTCCCTCACTCTCTGCTCCTCTCCCACTCATGCTCTCTCACTCTCTCAAAATAAATAAATAAACTTAAAAAAAAAAAGAAAAACCTACTTAAGGCACATCTAGGTTTGCAGTTAAAGAGTTTTCATAAATTTTACTTCAATGCTGTAAAGTTGTTTTATTTCACAATAAACTATATCCCAATTTGCTAAAATAACTTGCTAGCCATGCTTTTCTTATAATTTAAGGAAATAGAAAATAAAAATCTTACTGTACTTAAAAACAATCAAGATAGCTGTGACTGGTTTAAAAACATTCCCAACACACATGGATATAAATTATAAAAATATGAAAATACCTAGGAGTGCCTGGGTGGCTCAGTCGGTTGAGCCTCCGACTTCAGCTCAGGTCATGATCTCACAGTCTGTGGGTTTGAGGCCCGCGTTGGGCTCTGTGCTGACAGCTCAGAGCCTGGAGCCTGCTTCAGATTCTGTGTCTCTCTCTCTCTCTCTCTCTAACCTTCCCCCGTTCATGCCCTGTCTCTCTGTCTCAAAAATAAATAAACATTAAAAAAAAGTTTTTAAATATATATATATGAAAATACCTGAACATTGAAGTTGAGACAAAATCTGGGCACCTTCAAAGTGGTGGCTTGTCATCTTTAAATTAGGTTTGATACAACGAATAAAGCTTGCACCCTAGGAGAATAAAGATACTTTTTAAGACAATACAATAAGCATTCTTATTTTTCTATTTCTATGAACGAACATCAGTAACTATCAAGCATGTTGCCATTAATATCTGAACCTCTTTTAAAATAATCACTAAAGAATCTAAAACTTAATTAGCATACTTTTAAAATTTCAAGCTTGGAATGAATTTCTGCATTATATACTAATGTTAGAAACAGTACATTTTAGATTTGAGTACCAAAAATTGTGTTATTGTAAAAAGAAAAGTCTTTCATTGAAAAATATTTTAACATATTTAAATATAATACATTTTTCAGACTGACACATATATGATTTTATTCTACATTTAAGTATATTTATATGCTATATTTCTGTGGTAAGAAAATTTTCCTATAACAAGACAAAGTAATAAAATTATGCCTCTTAAAATTTAGACCAAAGTGGGGAAAAATAAGTCAACCTTTTTCATCATTCTGTAAATCCCTAAGCTGCACCACTTCACATTTTAAAGTTCTGTTTGTTAAAAAGCATTTTTTTAAAGCTTTTAAAGGCATTCATTTAGAATCAGTTATCGGATTACGTTGAATGAGGCACAAAGAATATGGATATGTGCACAATGAACCTGTTGAGTATTAAAGTGAATATACCAAACATCCAAATAACTGTTCCTTTTCAGAGCAGTCCCCTTAAAAAACTGAATAGTTATTTCAACAACGATGCTCACTGCAAACACTTTCAGAACACTTTTTGGAAGTATCTTCTTATAAATCACAAAAGTACTCTCATTATTTGCCCTGTATTTGGTGTAATCTATATTTGGGCCATAAAGATAAAGGTAAAATACCCTCCTCATCAGACTTGGTTTTTAAAGATGTTTAGTTCCTAAGAGATAAATATTTGCAAACAATGAGAATATCTGCTAATGCTTCCAAAAGCAAGTCTAACAATAAATTAAGCAATAACAGCATCAAAAGAATAAATATTTGGCTTTTCAAAATGACTACGTGAAAAGGAAGAATACCTGGTTAAGTTCTGTAGATCTGTTTAAAAAATAAGCCTCGCCTTGAATCATGCCCACATAACCCACATATCATACTTCTTTCTCTGGCAAATTTTCCATTAAAAACCAGAGTGAACTACTAAAATGTCTAGTTAATTAAAAAGGGGGGGATATTGCCTCTATAACAGGACATAAAAATGGTATGTCCATTTTTTCCGTGACAACACTGTCAGGCTGGAGAATGTTACTACTAGAATGATAAAATGAACATGAATTACATGCATTATCTTTAATCCTAAAAAATATATTTTCTTTCTCCACATTAATAACTAATTATTTTCACTTTTCTGAAACTACAGGATAATCTGAATTGAGTAACATTTGAGAGAATTCTGTACATTTATAAAATAATGTGACTTCCCATATATATTTGACTTTCTTCAGAACAAGCCTAACCAAAATGACAACCATTTAAAAAACTAATTTTTTTAATGAGGGAATTCAGTTTTAAATTAATTTCTAATTATTCTATGTTTACTCTGTTTATTTGAGTAATTACTAACAGTAATTTCAGAGGACTATTTAAAAACTCTGAATTTTTTAAAATTTTACTCACAGTACTGCGAAGTTTATCCAGAAGCAGATTTAACTGTGTCTGCAGAAGAAAGCAAATCACTTTACTATTTCAAAAAGCAAAAGTACACAATGTCATAAGTTACCATTAGCTCTCCAACATTAGCATAAAATAACATGCAATAACATCAACATACAACACAGTGCAACTTAACAACTGATACATAAATTCTTTTACAGTAACATGCAAAATATATGGCTAATATGATGACAAGGACAGTAACTTATACTAGTCATACAGAACATGTATAATTAAAAGACTGAAAATTAGCAATGCTATAAAATATACACACATACTTGCAGGCGGGATGAATGAGGGAAAAGTGTACAGGCAACAAAGGAAGTACATGAAAATGCAGGGGATGCATTCCATAATAGATCAACAGAGCTGTACTTGAATATGTAGCAAGCTGGGTGCAGTTTCTGTCACACTCCATTGAAGAATGAAGACATACTTAAAATACACACTAATGGTATTAGAAATGTTTTATATAACACTTATCATAAATGAAATTGTCCTGCCTGGCTGTCAAAACCCTCTTGGCTATTTTAAAATATTTTACATTCCAATTATTTTTAAAAGCTTGGACAATTTTCTCAAAAACAACTTGACAATGTATACTACAAATTACTATATTTTCCTGTTTATAATAATATTAACATTAAGTGACAGTAATTTACTCTGGTTTAATAATACATTAAAATCATGTTTTGCTTTATTTCTCTGCAAAGTAAATTATATAAAATTCTCATATCAATTTTATACTAAGATGCTTATTATACTACTTACAGAAGATAAATCCAGATGTTAATTCCTAAATTAACATTTTGGATCAATCCAATATGTTAATAATTATTATTTTTAATAATAGTCATTATTTAATAATAATATTTAATAATAGTTATTATTATTATTATTAATAGGTAGACTGTACTGAATACTTTCTATGAGTCAGGCACTGCTCAAAGATTTTCACAGGAATGATCAGGTTCAAACCACAAACAATTCAAATTAAGTATGTATTATCAGCCTCATTTTTCAGGTAAAAGCATTAAGGCCCAGAGGGATAAATTACTTGCCTATGATCATGGAACGAGTAACGGTAAAGCCAAGATTCCAACAGTTCATTCTCTTACACATGAAACTACAGTATACTTCAGACATCATAGGCTTAAGTTATAAAAATGGAGTAAATTTCTGATTGGATTAGAAAAAACACAGTCACACCCCACTTATCTGGTTGACTGAGTTCTGACAACTTTAATCAATCTGGACCACAAACAACTGAAAAGCAAGTACGAGAGGCACTAATTTGAAAAGAAAACAAATGTCACAAAGTCCATGCCTCTTAATCCATAGACTAAGCATGGTATTCTCCAAAAAATTGGAGATAAACTAATTCAGAAGAGAAGCAGCAAAAATAAACTTGAGAGAAGAGGGAAGACTGTCAATTATCAAGGAAGCAGTCAAGGACCATAAGGCATAAGGATAAACAGTTTTATGAAACTCATGCTCTATTTGTATTTTATTTTTAAGCATACAAATATTCATGTATGTAACAACAGAGTAAGACTTCCATCAAAGAGGATTGTTTCCTAAATCACTAACAGTAAAAGAGTTATGTTTCAAATAACCTGAAAATGTTACTTTTCAGCAGAGAACCTGTGGTTCTCAGAAATGATGGATAACTGAAGTCTTACTGTAAATGCTAGCCTGTTTTCTTTTATTGCCTTACGTAACTTGAATTTAACAAGCTATTCTACTATATTTTAAATTAAGAATTACTATTAATACATCATTTCAAAGTATCTCAACACATTTTTGAAAGCTATTAGTAATATCACTCAGTTATAGTTTTTTAGCAGTTTAATGTGCAAAATACATCCTATTGAATGTAAGTAATATTTAGGCATTTCATATCTCAACATAAAAGAATACTTTAATTCAAAGAATTTTTTTTTTATTTTTATTTTTTAATGTTTATTTATTTTTGAGAGAGAGAGACAGAGTGTGAGCAGGGGAGGGGCGGAGAAAGAGGGAGACACAGAATCGGAAGCAGCCTCCAGGCTCCGAGCCTGGACGCAGGGTTCCAACTCACAGACTGTGAGGTCATGACCTGAGCTGAAGTCGGACCCTTAACCGACTGAGCCACCCAGGCGCCCCCTTTAATTCAAAGAATTTTAAGAATGTTTTGTTTTTATTTATACTGTCTAAAATTTCAAGTATGTTCTTACAAGCAATACCACTATAATATTACATTATGCAAATAATAATATCCACTTCATATAGGCTAATATACTATTTTATACTAATCTGCTATCATGTGTCTATTCAGGAATTTCAAAATATAAAAATAAGAGAAAAAATACTGCTCAAGAGAATTAGGAACTCATAATGAATATAACTTATAACAAAGTTAAAGAATTTTTATTCAATTACTTGTAAAGTATTAAAAACTTTCTCCTATATTTATATATACTTTAAAAAAATCTAGGTTTATAAACATGATTTCATCAAGATAGTTAATTAGAGCCCATTTCTATCCACAAGGGATTTCAGGAGGCTTACATTGTTGCTATTATTATAGTATTCTGATGCTTAAAGAGTTTCTAATTACATCATTTTTAATATTTAAAGTACACATAATAGAAGGCATATGCAAAGGTTTTTTGTATATACAACAATACTTTGTGAAGATGTATACAAGAGAAATTAATTCTATGTCTTTGTTCTATTTATAATTTTTTATTCATTAAACTTGTGATAGAAAAGTTTTTAAATTACCTTTTTCTATGCTAAATACTCAACAATTAAAACCAATTCGTGTTCCATTTCTAAGACACATCATGTGTCAATTCCCTGTCAGACCTCAAAGAATAAATTTTTGATCTAAAATTAATAAAACAAATGAGATGTTCTTCAATGTTAAATAAGCAGTTTGAAGGGTTTGTCACACAGAGCATTTATCTTTTACAAAGTTATCAAAAGCTTTAATCAAATTTTAGTGTAAAACACAGTGAGAGAAAACACATTGAAAATAAATTAAAAACTAAATTAATAACTTGAGACGGGCTCTTTTTAACATGGCAGCCATTCTACATATGAGAGTCCAGGAAGGTGATTATTTACCTGAAGCCCCTGGCTGTGCCTGCTTTTCCTCTCTCAACTCAACTAGTCCTCTCTAGCCATCCCGAGCTGGACTACTCCAGCTAAAACAAAACTGCTGAATGAGGAAGGAAACAGAAAACACATGGGAAAGAGAAGGTTTGAAGGTCAACCAAACAGTAAGCAGAAGCAAGAACATTAGGAGAAGCAGGTATGAATCAGATATGTTAAGCAACAAGAAAGAACAGACTCATAAGATTTTAAGAATTTCTGTATGTTCAATTACTACACCGATTTTATGTTATTTTGTATATAAATATCAACAATGCAGGGTCTGCTCTTGCACTTCACTCATGGGATTTCTGACAGTGATCTGCATTATCCTCTGTAAAGTACAAAACAATATATTTTACTTGAAATGCACTAAAAACAAATTTTCAAATAACAAATTTAACACAAATACCTTAAACTTGTTTCCCACACTGATGAAGCTAAGTTTTCCTGCTTTTTGTTTAGTATCTTTGTTGTTGTTTGTAGATGATTCAAATAATTCTCGTATAAATTTATCCCTGGATTCACATATTAAGGATTCAAGAGACATATGTAAAGCATCATTATTTTTTTCCACAAATTGGGTCTGAAAAATAAAGCAAACAGGAATGATTCAGTCCATCCCTTGGTAATATCCCTTGATACAGCTCTGCTCAACAGAATTTCTGAGATGACAAAACTGTTCCGCATCTGCACTGTCCAACACAGTCCCCACACATGAAATGTGCCCAGTGTACTGAGGAACTGAATTTTACATTTTATTAAATTTAAACTGAAATAACCAGATGTGGCTGGAGGTTAACATTATGTGCAGCGCAACTTCAACTTCAAATGGTTTTCTCTTAGTAAAAGTCACACTCACTGTTTCATAGCACACTGCCCCTGCAAAATGCCTGATAATGAAGCCTTCATCATCTCTGATGTTCCTATGGACTGCCAGCTTAGATTTTCTGGGTATCTGAAAAGAGTACATGCATTAGTTATTAAATTATCAAAAACATATTACATAATCTCCTTAGAAAACATCTGGGATGTGAAACACTTAAAATTACATGGGAATTTTTCACACTTCACACAATTATACTGCCTTTGAAACACCTAGTAAGCTTTAGACTACCAATGAAATGTAGCAAGTATTTGGTTATAATCTCTCAAAAAAAAAAATGAGTCAGACAAAAATAAACACTGTAAATATGCAAAACAATAGGCACTTTATAAAGTTAACTGCCTATGTCTAAAGTAGTGGTTCTTGATTTAACTGGTGAGTTAACTGGAAAACTTTTAAACCCCCTAAAGCCCGTATCATTTACGTCAGGTGATTTGAAGGTACAACCAAGGTTGAGAAGCACTGTCCTAAAAAACATCTGAAATCAGTACTTCTCCCACTTTTAAAACTATACATCCTAACATGTTTATACAATGAGCCTGAATCTATCTGAAGAACACTGAATCATTTTAGGGCTATACTATCAGTGACAATATCTCATATTTAAAAGTTTCCAAAATGTCTTCACATAAAAGAATATATATGACCCTCAAAATAACCTAAGGATAAGAAAGACAACCTCATTTAAAAATGAAAAAACTAAGACTTTGAGAACATTACCAGGCTTTTTCTAGGTGAGAGGGATAGCAGAGCACAGAGCCTCTTCTTTGTGAGGTGATACACCAGTATAAGCCAGAACAAGGGCCCTGGAGTCAAAATGCCCAGCCTGATTCCCAAATCCACCACTTCCTTACTATGCTACACATGACTAGTCACTTAACCTCTCTACGTACATCTCCCCATCTCTAGCATGGGCATACAAACAGGATCTACCCCAGAGATTATGAGTATTAAATAAAATAACTTAAGTAAAACCTTCAGATGACTGGCACATAGGAAGTGTTCAATAAATGGCTATTATTACTTTTATTTCCAAAGAATTACAACAAAAGTAATGGCTTATAAAAATTAGAATTTACTGTCTTGCTCTTGTTCTCTTTGAAGACAAGCAGCCAAAGTCCATTCTTGATGTTTTAGCTTGTTGTCCTTGTACTTATATGTACTATATAACTCAGGGTTCTCTGAGGCCCGGGTCACAATTTTGTTGACTAGCAATCTGTACTCTTGGTAAAGCAAGCTGGTCACAACAAAGACTAGTGAACAGTGAATATATAGGACCAGATATACATCTTCAATCTTAGCAAAAGTTTTGGTGAGGATTCGTATCACTTGATTTCTATCTCCACTGAAGAGACACAGGCTCTGCATTATAAGAAATATTTAAGGACATAGAAGAACTCCAAGTCAGTGGGGCACGTGGTTGCTAGATTCAGTCCCTAGAGAAGGTTATCACAACTACATCAACTTTTCAAGTAAATACATTCAACCTGTTTACCTAACACATTCTTAACTTAGTTAATGATGTAAGGAAACAAGAATACTAGTCTTCATTCAGTTCAGCTCCTGGATCCATCAAAGCAATGACTGATATACTATGGTACAATTTCAAAATAATAAACAGTATGGGAGCCATCTGCAAGTCTAAGCAGCTTTACTTTTCTTCTTTCCTCCCTTTCTTTCTTGGTTATTCTCTGTAAGATAAGGCAGCACCTATCTTCCTGGATGAAATTAACATCCGTATTTTTCTGTGCTAATTGGGCACAAGGATGGAGCTGTCTTTGTATTACCTCAAGGGATGATGGTCGAGTGTAAAGATAAACACAGAATTAGGTGAACCCAGGAAACACTTCAATAGCCTCAGGGTCCAGCCTCATGAAGAAAGCCCTACTGTTCACTGGTATAAGGATTCAAGCACAGCTCTATGACCCAACAACAGTTCAGGGAACCAGGTCCTCTAACCCCTTCAGAAGTGTACTTCTCATTTATTTCCACTGATCTCTGTTTTTCCCTGTAGTTAATTTTTCTACTGCTTCAGTTCTGTGTCTCTGAGTATATTTCCCATTCAAAAGTCCCTAGGAAAGAGCATCAAAATAAATTGGCTACCCATTATCTAATATGGATTGCTTGCACAAGTCAGACTCTAAGCCATAAACTTTATTACTGGTCTTACAAATGTGCAGACTGGTGGCTGCTTGTGATTCTAGATGCTAACCCCTGGAACATGATCCAGGTCACATGACAGAAGCAAAGCAAATGGTGTCCATTTTGCTAAAGGAAGAACATAAAAATAGCAAGTAAACCTGTTTATCCATTTTAGATAGATGAAATGTACTTTCCATCCAGCTAAAAGGGCCTTCATTAGAGAGATCATCATCATCCAAGATACACATATATAAACTAAGGGCCTATCTATAGAGGATGCTGTGCTGGATAAATTATAGTTTTTCTAAGCCCCATATAATTTATTATTCTAATTACTTAATATGCAACATCTTTCTAAAGGTTTCTCTTCCCACCACAGGGTCTCAATTTTGGAATGGCAAACTCACAGTGAGTCGGAAATGTTCTTTGTGTTTCTGGTGAACTGCAGATGTAAAGTGTTGATCACTTGGCTGGGGAAGGCGATTTTCTTCATCTAAAATATCCAGTATCCCCACTAATTTTGATTCAATTAAATCTATTCCAAAAAAAGTCAAAATATGACAGGGTAAAAACATTTTAAGGATATGTGAACAACTTACTGATTATAAATTTAAAGGACTGGTCAGAAGTAATGTAACAGATGATTGTATTGTAAGTATCTTCACAGGCTATAGAAAGCAGATAGATTTTATTTCAGATTTAGCAATCTATCAGAAAGTAACATCATAAACAGGTTTCCCCCACTATGGAAAAGTTTGCTTTATGCCACTTCACTTTTACAAAAGGCCTATATTAGTACCTGCTTTCATAGAAAGAAACCCAAAAAGAATTTTCGCATTTGCAAAATGGTAACTGCTTCTCTGATTTACACTATTTTGGTTTATGAAAAGTTTCATAAAAATGTTGATAGCAGGGGAAACTAATATAGGTTCTAGAAAAACAAGTTCATAAACATATGATTAATGTAAAACCATTCCAATTTGTAAGCTTGAATGAGAAGCTAAGGAACCAAAAATTCCTCCTCTTGCATATGATATCTACATTCAAAATGAAGTAAAAGTACAGAAGCTTTTTCATGCTTAGCTTTTAAAATCTACTTTTCAATAGTGATTCAAATGCCTTCCAACAAAAGTTCAGTAACAGGACATTTTTAGGCTCCCTTCATGTTGTTTGAATTTCTTGCTTGTACAAAATAACTATAAAGTGCTCAAATACAGTATATAAAAACTACTAAATGGGACAGACTTCAAAAGCCATAGGATGTAAGAAGAGAAATCAAAATTCGAACTGCATTGCTCAAAGAATGATGCTTTTTAGGCAACTGGTGATGGTGAAGGGGGGGCATGCAGAACTAAACCATAAATGAGTATTTTGATAGGTGTAGAAGGATATGAAAGTGCGCTGAAAGATAAATGGCAGGGGAGGAATTCCAGCCAAGATATCAAATCACAAAATCAAAGGCACAGAGATCTGAGAAAAGCTGTGATATGTAAAGGCAATGCTCAGTGAGCCAACTAGCATGTAAGTGCTTTGAAAAGTTGTGCCGGGGCGCCTGGGTGGCGCAGTCGGTTAAGCGTCCGACTTCAGCCAGGTCACGATCTCGCGGTCCGTGAGTTCGAGCCCCGCGTCGGGCTCTGGGCTGATGGCTCGGAGCCTGGAGCCTGTT